ATGAGTTCCTTGCCGCTCTGGATGGTATCACCAGCAGACCCGAGTCTCGAATACTCTTCCTTGGAGCGACCAATCTACCCTGGCAGATTGACGCTGCCGCATTGAGGAGATTCCCCAAAAAGCTGTAGGGTATCTAACAAGAAGATCATGATTCTCTTTGATTTGGCCCTCACTGGATATGATCGTTCCACGAAGCCCATAGCATTGACACGTAACACAAATGCTGTTATATAGTTATAGATGATATAGTGATACAGTTACAGTAGTGTTACAGTTATGGTGAATGCAGTTTAGGTGATGCCCAGCTGGTGCGATCAGGTACACCCCGCTGCCCGGCATAGGAGCTCGGAAGTATCTAATCACCAGGTTACTGGATCTACATCATGCTAGCATATTGACTGAGACACCAGCCGGTTTCAATGAAGAAGTCATACATCGAGTGTCAGAGAGTACCGAGGGATATTCTGGGAGTGACATCAAACAGTTGATGTGCGCCGCTGCGATGGTAGGGCATCAGATTCTGATAGCGACGAACTACTTTAGTATGAGGCATAAACTCAACTGGGCGATTTTACCGAGTCATGAGGACTCGCTATACTTAAAGCTCTGCCTTGGGCGAACTTGTATCGTGATTTTGATGGTACTCCTAGGTACCCATACGGGAAGCCTTGGCCAAAATTGTATCATCGGGTGACGAGAAGGAATATTCTAATGTTATTCCTCGACCGCTGGTCAAGGCTGATCTCGACGATGCGCTTGCCCACAGTCATGCCAGTGATGCTAAGCTTGAGGAGTATATCGAGTGGAATGATAAATTCGGATCATGGCCCACTCAAGTTGTTATGCATGACGAATAAGTTCCCTGAATCAACGCATCGGTTTCCTTCCTCCCGTTGGCTTCTGTTCGAGTAGTTAATGAAGGACTGCCATTCGAGAATGAAGGGCCTTCACTGTAGAGGTTGTGAGAGTTCTTTGGGTACACGTTAACCTGGGGCACACCCAAGGGTATTGTGTGCAAGTATTGACTCACAACGCGGAGCTTAGTGGTGGTACAGCAGGATAAACGCATATACAACTGGTCAAGGGCATCTCATGTCATAATACATCGTAACCACGATTCCTATACGGATACTGCAATGTAAAACCCGACTCCTACCAGGGATGACTATGTGTCGATCCACACTCCAAGGGACTCCCTAAGTGTTTCTCACGCGCGCAATATCGTCACGCCGATGCCGGTGATACATGCCCAATCGGTCCTGTTCGTTGTACCCACTTCCATAAGACATGGTTCGCCAGATCTTTCCGGCGCTATGACGGGTTATGACCCTATATCTTCCTGTGCAGCCTCTCACTTTC